TTCCTGTCCTCATGGGGATTACATTCTAGTGAATGGATACAGGTAAAAAAAATAAATAAGTAAAACATATAATTGTTAGATACTAACAATTGGGGAGGGATTGTCATTTAAAATAAGAAGTTGGGGAAAACCATACTGAGAGATGTTAAGACACAGTCATGAATACACCTTTTGAAGAATAATCCAAGAAGAGGAAACTGTAAAGGAACTCTGAGTTAAACTATGACTAGTATGTTTGAGGAACATGAACAGTGGTCATTATGGCTGGAGATGAAATAGCAAAAGCAAGAGGAATAGGAGGAGAGGTTCTAGAAGTAATAAGGGCCAGATGTGAGCAGGCCTGGCAGGACATTCTAAGAACTCTATACCTTCCTTTGAGGGATATGTGAAATATTGACATCAAAAAATAGGATCTGATTTTGTGCATGCATACAAAAAAAATAGGATCTGGCTGCTGTTTTGAGAAGAGCCTGTAGGGAGTAGAGTATAAAGAGATAAGTCTTCAATTAATTTGTTAATCAGGGATGCATCTCCACAGAAGATATGCTATAAGAACTGGACAGAGAGCAACTCAGTTATTTCAACCATTTCCAGGATGCATCCCTAAAGAACAACTTTGGGAAACTTTCTGAAGGCATTTTAAGGTGGTTTATCCAATAAAATGTATTAAACCTCTAGGGTGAGATTTGATAGTTAGGATACTACTGATATTTTTTCATATTCACCATTAGATAGTAATAATTTGCATGAAAAGAACACTTTGATTTTAATTCTTTCTTGGATAGTTTTGCATAATTTTATGTGATTTACTTGATGAAACCACTAAAACTATTTTCCATCCATAGTTTTACATAATCTGCATAATAAGGAAATACTGAGGAGAACTAGGAACTGAGCAATTCAGCAAGATCACAGAAAGCATGTGTTGGGAGCTGCCTGTCAGCAAATGCTGCTAGAAATTCTGTGAATATCAGGACAAATCTTGCAGATAAGGGTAAAATAAATGGCCTTGGCAAGATTTTGTATAGGTTGCACATTTCTTGTTGGGTCATTGCTACTTCTAAAAAAATTCAACTAGAATTATTCTTTTGGGACACAACTTTCTGGGTGCATGTGTACTTCTCTATTTTCTAGATTCTTCAGAAATAACTTCTCTTTTCAACTGCTTATTACCCCATTGAGTGGACACTGTTGATTAGAAAGGACTTCTATGTCATTGAATAATAGGAAGCTAGCAGGATATTTCAGTTACCATTGCTGCATACCAAATTATCCTAAAACTAATCCTAAACCTAAATCCTAAACCAAAAGTAACAGTTTATTTTTGCTCATAATTTTGTGAGTCAGAAATTCTGTAAGGGCTTGAGATAGTGGTTCTCACTTGGAGCTGCAGTTATCTGAAGTTTCCACCTGGCTGGATATCCAGGGTGGCTCATTCATAAGGCTATCAGTTTATGCTGTCAGCTGGGCTGTTGACTCAAGCATTTTTAAATGGCCTCTTCATTTGGTCTGGGCTTCCTCACAATATGGCAGTGTTAGGGTAATCAGATTCTTACAAAGCAGCTCAAGCCTCCAAATGTGAGTACTCCAGCATGTAAGATAGAAGCTGCATCACCTTTTATTACTTAGCCTTGGCTGTCTTGCAGTGACATTTTCATCACAGTCTATTGGTTACAAGTGAGTTACAAACCTACCCAAAATCAAGAGGAGGTGATATGTACCTTCCTCCTGATGACAGGAACGTCAAGGTCACATCGATTGCAGAGGAGCATGTGGCATAGGAGAAATTGTTGTGGCCATATTTGGAAATATCTGTCACACAGGCTTAGTTAGTAAAAATAGAATGTGTGAAGTCACTGAATTCAAGGTAAAGTATAGAGGTCACCAAATCTCATGGAGAAACAAATTTGGGAGGGAGAAACTGTGAATGTTTACATTTTTGCATCTATAAGAGCAATAGGATCCAAGAGCACTGCAGGAGGTTAAACAAGGCAGGTTAAGGTTTCAATGAAGGCCTCACTATGTAGTCTATGCTTCAGGGTACCTTAATAGTAACACTATGTGTGTGTGTGTGTGTGTATGGGGTATTGGGAATTGAGCCCAGGGGTGCCTCACCACTGAGCTATACCCCCAATCCTTTTGTTTTTAATTTTTTTAAATTTTGTAACAGGGTCTTGCTAAGTTGCCCAGGCTGGCCTTGAACCTGCCATCCTCCTGTCTTAACCTGCAAAGTTGCTGGGATTACAGATGTGCACCTGCCAGGCAATAATAGCATTCTTAGGGTAATTCGTTTGTTTCACAGACTTTTAGTGATAGGTACATGTATTAGTAATAAAATAGTCAGGGACTATTTTAGGCTCTTGGTGCATATCAGTAAGTAAATGTAACAAAAAAGTCCTACCTTCATAGACAGTGTCTTCTAATGGAATAATGATATTAAAATAACACTGCTTGCAAATTAAGTCAATGACAATTAGCAGTGGGGCTTTGTGTGGTTTAAATAGCTTGTTCTACCCTAGAGGAAGTTTTGGGCTGGAGTTCTGCCAGGTGATTCTGCAGCAAAGAAGTGAGGTCTTTGGGAAAGCATTCTATAGGCTAAGAGTTCATTTGTCCTGTGAATTCAAGAAGGCTCTTAGATATCATTAACCTCTTGCTTCTCCCAAATCATTTGGGGTTTTTTGTTACCAGGGATTGAACTCTGGGGCGCTTAGCCACTAAGCCAGATCCCCAGCCCTTTTTTGTATTTTATGTAGAGAGCCGAGTTGCTTAGGGCCTAGCTAAGTTGTTGAGGCTGGCTTTGAACTCTTGATCCTCCTGCCTCAGCTTTCCAAGCCACTGGGATTACAGGCATGTGCTACTGCACCCGGTGTTCAAATCATTTGTTTTATATTCTTCTTATGACCCTAGTTCTTCTTGATGGCATCTTCTTGATGGCATACAAAAGAAATCTCTAGGAGCTCCTGCCCTGTATTCACACCTTTATCACATAACTTTGGGATTTATAATGAAACCTTGTTTCCTTACATGATGTACCAATAGAATAAGACAGAAAAGAGTATGTCAGTTTTAGACTAAAAGCTAAGAAGTCTTGCACATTTCTGCTTTTGCTCTTGCCCCTTTGCCATCGCCATGCAAACATGATGGGGTGGGCCTACTGGAGAACAAGGGACATGTGGATCAGAGCCCAGCTAGGTCAGTATCCCCAAGCAAGAGCCAGCCTACATCCAGATGCATAAATGAGTCCAGCCGAGATTCCAGATACCTGATCAATAAACTTATTGTTAGACCTTAGAAGATTTTTGTGGTTGTTTGTTATGAATCATTTGGGGCCAATAGAAAACTGCCACAACTGGGAAAAAGCAGATCTCCTTCTCTTGGTGACATGCTCACAGTAGTATTCTGAAATCAGTTACTATAGATTCCTGGCATTGCGGCTGGTGGCACCCCTGGGCTGGGATGTGTGGAAAGATAATCAGAGTCAGAATTAACAGTATTGCCTCTGGATTCCTGACAGGGAGAGGTATAGTTTCATTTCCTCCTTGTGAAGGCCTGTATTTTGTCTCTATGTCTGAGGGGACATTTGTCATTCCTAAAGTCTGTTACAATTGTGGGATTAGGAAGAAAGCCTCAAGGCTAAACATTCCTTTTGCTCCTTTGATGCCTTTTCTTCCTTTAACTTATCAAGCTTCCTGGGTAAAGTGGACTTAGCTTTATTATTATTTTAATTATTAGTAAAAGTATACCCATTTTGGTAGCATTATAGGAAGATGATGGCCATACTGTCCCTGGATGTGAATATGATTGTCTTGGCAATAATTCTGGCAAACTGAGGTCCTTCACCAGACAACATCCAGCAAGGATAGAGGGGCAAACTATTTAATCATAATGAGTTCATCGCGACAATTAATGCTTCCAAACAAAATTGGCCTTTCAAGTAAATGAAGTAGCTGTTCCCTCCCCCAACAAAGTGCCAGAAACCTTTCTGAGTCATTTATTCTAATGTGTCTTGAACAATCTCTATCAAAATACAACCCCCACCCCCAAAGATGTGACCTCATTAGCTTTCAAGAGTCAACACTTTGGGAAATTGTTTTACAAGAGCTGAACATAAGAAAAGCAATTAGTTTGTGTAATTGTTCATTTTCTTTCTTTCCCACACAACTGTAAGCTCCAAGGGGCCTAGGACCAAGTCTATGTTACTCATCCATCTATTTCCAGGTTCCAGGACACAGAGGAGACCCTCAATAATGCCTGTGGAAGGAAAACAGAAGGGAACAGAGAAAAGAAGGGAGGGAAGAAGGAAACAGCAGAATGATCAAAGGCCTAATTAAATTCTCAGTCAGCATTTGTCCTTGTATTAACTAGTTAATGACTCCCTGTTTAGTGACCTCTTACTATATTCACAGGGGGACAGGGGAGACCTCATTCCCTTGTCTTTACCAGATGTGGTTCATTTTTACTCCTGTATACTCCAAAAACAAAACAAATCAACAAAGCTCGGCAATCAAAGACAAGACAAAAGTTTCCCTATGGGGCATTTTACCTTTTAACGCATGAAACAAGATGTACTCAGACCCCACCAGTCTTTGGAATTGAAACATTCAGAGTGAGAACTCCATAGCGATCAAGATGAAAAACAAGCTCCCAGTCCCCTCCCAACTCTGCCGTACTTTAGTTCACAGGCTTCTTAAACTTTAATGTGCATGCGAGTCACCTACAGATCTTGCTAAATATTCAGATTTTGATTTAATAGGTCTGGGGTGAAGCCTGGGGTGCTGCGTTTTTAATATGCTCCCAGGTGATGCTGATGCCGCTGACCCGAGGAGCACACTTTTGAGTATACAAGGGACTCGGTGTCGTCGTCTCCGCTACCAGGTGTGCTAATGCCCAGTCTCAGCGTTCCGGATCGTTGTCCCGCACGTCCCTGGCCTTCCGCCGGGAGGGGAGGAGCCGAGGGCGGAGCGGGAGGAGTGGCGCGGGCCCCGCGTGGGTCCTGTCGGAGATCACCTCGGCCCCTTGGAGAGGCGGCCGAGCTGCGGCGGCGTAGGAGGGGGCGGGTTTGGCAAGGGCGCGGCCTCTGGGAGGGGGGCGCACGACGCGCATCCCCCGCGCTCGCTCGCCCGGGCCACTCGGGAGCCTCGCGGCAGCCCGGTGCCCCACTTGGCCATCCGCTCCGTGCTTCTTCTTTGCGCCCGCCTCCTCTTGTCACCTCCCGTCTCACCCTCTTGCTCCATCCCCGCCGCATACATCGCCATCCGAGTGCCTCAGAGAACCGGAGGTGGTACGCGGGGCTTCAGGGCGCGCCCTCAAGCGGTCCCCAGCTCGATATTGGGGGGCACGGGCAACAGCATGGACACCAAGCGCTGCTTCGCTAACCGCTTCGATGACTACCAGGGCAGCCTGCTGGCGGGCCAGTGCGAGGAAGCGGTGGCGCCCTTGGTCACCGCCACCATCGAGCGCATCCTCCAGGAGCTGCCCCCTCTTGGGGGCGGCGCTGAGGCCCGGGGGGCGACGGCCGGGGCCAGCGTCTGCCAGGGTGGGCTGTACAGCGGCGTGGCCGGGGTGGCCTACATGCTCTACCACGTCTCACAGAGCCCGCTCTTCGCCGCGGCCCGGGAGCGCTACTTGCGCTCCGCCAAGCGCCTCATAGACGCGTGCGCCCGCGCCGAGGAGTGGGGCGAGCCGGACGCCGACACCCGCGCCGCCTTCCTGCTCGGGGGAGCGGGCGTGTATGCTGTGGCCACGCTGGTGTACCACGCCCTGGGCCGGTCCGACTACGTGCAGCCGCTGGGCAAGTTCCGGGCTCTGTGCGCCGTCTGCGCGCCGGTCTCCTTCCTGGAGTGCGGCTCCGACGAACTGTTCGTGGGCCGCGCGGGCTACCTGTGTGCCGCGCTGGTGCTCAAGCAGAAACTCGCCCAGGAGGTAAGAGGCGGCCCCGGCCGCGGGAGGGCGCTCGCCACCCGCCCGGCCCTGCCCCGCCGCGCTTCCCCGGACTCCCCGACTCCCGCAGCACCGCCTCGGGTTGTTCCCCTGCATCTCTCTTTGTTACTCTTTGTCTGGCGCTTTTATTTCTTCCGCCTCTTGAGGTTTCTTTTCTGCTTTTGTCCGTCTTTCCCCCTCTTTTTTGGCCTCTCGTTTGTTGAGATTCCAGGTCTTTACATTTTGTTCTTATTTTAAGCTGAACGTGGCTTCACCCCAGGTGCCTCTTAACCCAGCAGCTTCCTGGGGGCTGACAGTGGCCCTTTGAAGTGAGATTTTGAAACTCAAAACCGAAGGGATTTCCTTTCCTTTGACCCTGCTGTCAAAAGCTGAGGCCCCTTCGAATGTTAGAGTACTACAAAAGTAATGGACCAAGTAGGGACTGATGTGGAGATAAGTTGTTTCAGAACCCCTGGATCTGTGACGGAGAATAAATGGCCAGTTGTAGGTCAGCTGTGCTTACTATGTTACTTGATATAATTCAGTACATCCCATGGCTCTCATTAGACGCATATTTGATGGGAAAGCCCTCCCTTTAAATACATTAATGTAGGCAAAAATGTACCCCACTGTGGTCAAATGTGCACATTTTTCATTTTAAAATGTGTACTTAGGATGATCAAGACCACAGCTTTCTTGACAGGGCAGCTTTTCTTGATGAATAGCTGCTGTTCAGTGGCTGCTGGATGGGAATTGGGGAGGTGTGTGTGTGTGTGTGTGTGTGTGTGTGTATGGAGATATATATATATATTATTTATATATATATATATATATCCATATATATATGTTCACTTTGAATACAGATATATATTAGAAGAGAATGTGCCAGTTCCTGTGGAGCAGAGGTGGGGGGGACTCTGAAAGATCATAGTAACTAGCACTGAAAGAGAGGCACTTTCATTCATAATCCACCCAAGCCACATATTGTTCTAGGAAGGAAGTGACACATTTTACTTGACTTTATTTGGGTGAGAAAACCGTTTGAAGAAAAATTAAAGGTATACAGTGTGTTTTTTTAAAGTGTAATTAACTTAGATAACCTCTACAGAAGCAGACTTCATTTTTTTTTATTTATAGCAGTCGAGGTTGATTCAAGTGAGAATAAAAAGATTACTAAAGAATGTGCAGTGTGCTAGCAGGGCAGCAAAGGTCTGTGTGACAAAGTTGTCTTGAAATAGTTCACTCTGCTTCTGAGTCACTGTTATCTGCTAGCAGTTTCCCAAGGGCCCTTCCAGTTGTATAAAACCCTTTAGAAGGCCACAGAGCTATTTACATATCATTTGCATTGCATTTGCATCTGCTTCTCAGACCTTGCAGTCTGGTGGCAGGCAATTTTCAAATTCTTTTTTTCCATTTGTTTTCCTTAAGCTTGCTTCTTTCCCTTCCCATGCCTTGGGTCCTCTTCTCCAGAATGGACTGACAGACTGGGAGACCCTTCCAGTCACATGCGGAAGCAGACCAGAAGAACTCTCTGCTTCAGAACTGGTGGTCCAAGGCCAGTCTGGAACACTGCTCCACAAAGACACTTATTAAGACCTTTCTTTTGCCCTCCTGCCAAACCAGATATGTCTTTTTGTACTAATCAGGTTGAGGTGCTTTGGCCCCTGCTCCTAGGAGACAGAACAAGGTCTGAAGCTTAAAAAATAACAATAACAACAACAAAACCCTGTTAATCTGTTAGATCAGCCAGTCCCAGTGCTAGGCTCAACTTCAGCAATCCAGTTCAGGTGTGAAAAGTGTAGGACAGGGGCTAATCAGGCTACCCTCACCCCAAGTCCTAGCTATTACATGACTTTGCCTTTGTGGATCAGTGGATGATCCACAAACCTTGAGTAAATTGAATTTCCAATTTGTGTGTCATTTCTGTATAAATAATCTGTCATTATGTCCCAAGTTTCTTTCCTTCCAATGTCATTTTTATTCACTTTCATTTGGCAGTTCTCTTAGTTAATCACCCTAGTTTTTAGATCCTCCTCATACCACTTGGCACATCTTTGCCACGTAATAAATAGTGAAACGAATGACTCACCATATACCCGGGATTGTGTATGGTACACTCACTGAGCCATTCCTTCGAACTTTAAGAAAGCAATCATCTTAAAAACACTTTCCATTATGTCATTTCCCTGTTCAACAGCCTGCAGTGCCTCCTTATTACCTTTTCTCCAATGGCTTCTCATCTCAAAGTTAAAGCTACAATACTTAAAATGGCCGACAAAGCCCACATGATCCAGCCCCCTGCGTACCTACTTTACTTCTTGCTCACTCCTCTTCCACCACAGTGGATTCTTACTGTTTTAGGCATTCTCCTGTCTTAGGGTGTTTGTACTCTCTGTTCTCTCTACTTGGAACACTTCCCCTAGATATTTTTATAGCTGGCTCTGTGACCTTGTATAGGTCTTTACCTCCTCATTGAGGCCTTTCCTATCTGCCCTATTTAAAATTGCAACCCACCCCTTGGCTTTACCTCCTTTTCCTGTTTTTTTTTTTTTTTTTTTTTTTTTACTCTAAACTATGTTCACTAGTTAGAATGTAAGCTCCAAAAGGGTAGATATTTTTTTATTTATTACTGTATCTTTAGTATTAACATGATGGCTGGCACATATTTAAGTACCCAATCTTCTGATCTTTATTTCTTCTTCTTTTTCTTTCTTTTTTTTTTGGTTTTGTTGCTCATATTGTCTGCTCTGTGGCTTGCTTTATTACTCATCTTTAATGGTCTCCCATTTGTCAATATTTTCCTTTATGGTGGTGCTTCTGATGTCATGTGTAAAGAAATTCTTTCCTACCACCAAGGTCTCAGTAAATATTTGGTGAATGAATGAATTATAGTTTTTTACAGATTTTGCCTCAGATCAAGCTGACCCATCAAGTCAGTTCTTCTTAAACTTAAATGTGCATCGGAATTACCTGCAGATCTTAATAAAATACAGGTTCTGATTTAGGCTTGGGGTGGGGCCTGAGATTCCACAATTCTAATAAGTCCCTGGGTGATGCTGATGTTGCTAGTCCATGAGTCATGATTCAAATAGCAAGGCAATACAGTGCTATATGGGTTTTGGCATTATACCAGCCATGTCTATTAAGACATGCTGTAAGACTTCATTCTTTGACGCTTGATATATTTATTTATAAGGCTATAGTTTAGAATGCTGATTACTGTATCCCACCATGCTTTTGTTATAAGGACCCACAAGAGGAATTTAATCTCAGAACTTAGAAACAGTTGTTCTCCTCCTGGTAATTGATTAAATTATTTTAATCTTCAAAATATATCATATAACTGATTATATTTCTCACTTCATGTCGGCCACTAGGAAGTAAGTGGCCAAAATTGTGGGCCACCAAGATAGCATATAGTGCTTTATCACATGTATTTTTATATGTCAGCAGTTACTCCTGGGTTTATCTAATTTGTTACTGCCTTAGTTTACCTTCTTAAAATTTTTCTTCCTTCCATTTGATTTTCTTGTTGATACCTATGTTTATAAGATTCACAGATGAAAAAAATGTGGGTGTATATGTAGAAAGACACAGACAGACAGACAAAATCACCCTATCTAGGTAATAGATATTCTTTCTTTTAGCTCAGCCTTCCTAGAAATATTTGAGGGAAGTAGCTGCAGGGATTTGTTAGGCACATATCCTTGAGCAATGGGGCACTGAAATCCCAAGCAATCATGTCATAGAATTTGTATTAGGCCTATTCTGCTTTCCATAGGTTGGTGGAAATGTAGCAGAAAATGGTGGAGGGATTAAGGGGAGGCCTAGGACATCAGTTAAAATAATTTTGTCACTGAATGATTTTGGACAAATAATTCAACATCTTTGAGCCTCAGTTTCCTCATTTTTAAATGTGTTAGTAAGAATTTCTTCTTTGAATTATTCTGCCCTTTACATGTTCATTCAGTGAATTTTAGGTTTATCTATTGTGGCAGATGCTGGGATTTAGTATTGAACAACAACAACAAAATAATTCGGTTATGATAAATGATCTGAAGAAAGTAAACAGGAACTAACTGGGGGCAGGTGGGAAAGGCAGGGATGCTTCTTGGGATGGGTTGGGAGGAAGGCATCTCTGGAAGGGATGTCATGTCTCATTACGAGAGCGTGAAAATGAAGTGGCTACCCCAAGAGCAAGCATTCCAGGCAGAGAGCAAAGAAAAAGCCCCCAAGGTGGGAAATGGCTTGGAGATCTCAAAAAATAAGAAAAGGCCGGCATGAATGGAGCAGAGAGTGGGAGACAGGAGTTCAGAACCACAGAAGGAGTTATAAGCCGGCTAAGATCAGATCCTGCAGGGCCAGGTCAATCAAAGTCAGGAGTTTCATGTTTCTGTGAGGGAATATATTGATCTGGTTTACCTTTTAAAAAGATCTCCCTGGTTTTCTATCTGGAGAGTGGATTGACAGTATTAAGAGTGATGAGAGGCTGGGGTGTAGATCAGTGGTAGAGTGTGTACCTTAGTGTGCACAGGCCTGGGTTCAATTTCCTGCATCACACACACACACCTACATACACACACCCTGATCATAAGGAGAACTGTTTATGGGAGTGTAAACCTCTTGTGCCAAGGACTCCTTTTTCCCTTCAGGACCTCTTAGAACAACATTTTTAAATGCATAAAATAAAACACATAGCATTACCAGAGGAAGGCAATTATATTGCAATTCAGTTACCTAAATATTTTTGAAATGTGTGCTGCAGTAGCATGCCTGCTTTTTTATTAACACATTAAATAAGATTTTGCAATGAGCCTAATGATTATGGTGCTTTTGAGACAGTGATGAGGGGCAATGATAATTTGAGTTATCTTCAACACCTGCAGTGTGATATGTATATGTCTGTGATTTCTTTTTTTAAAAGAACTTTATTTTATTTTATTTATTTATTTATTTTATTATTATTATTTTTTTGTGGTGCTGAGGATTGAACCCAGGGCCTT